TAGAGTCATAGGGTTCATTACTGAGAATAAGACGAGGGGAATCGTCCCAGCGCGCGGTCTTTACGTTTTTTTTTACCTCTACAGTTGTTTGAGGTTAGGGGAGGCTTGACGAAAACTCCAACGTTCCCTTTGGCACTTTCTCTTGATAGATGGTTCCACTTGGCGGATTTTCCTCCACATTTCTGCAAAATCACTCAGTTATGAAATATCCTCATAAAGACACTAATATCTCCAATATTACAAAGAGTTCAGTTATTTATACAGAATCTTTGAGAATAGCTAATCTGTAAACTTGAAGTGTTTACCTTGAAAATAAAGGAAATGATAACTAACCTAAGGGACAATGGATATGAAATCAGTTTCATCATTTCTAGTATATTGAAGTGTATGTATAACAATAAATTTATATCCTATAAATATGCATTATCTGAAGACTATAAGCTTATTAAAAAATGGGTCAATAATATAATACCTAGTATACCATCGGAAGAAGCAATTAGTTAGTATATGGGTATCTACCTATCAAGGACTTGTTCCGATACGTTACAGTTACATCTTCTATTGTGAGTGCATTATAGGTAACACGCTCTAATAGAAATCTAGTCCTTTAAGGACTACCGTACACTCATTATACTTCTTCTGACAATTTTTAGGTAACATGATTTAGTTCAACTCTTCCGTACTAACATTTAGTTTCTATAGGACATGTCATCTTCAATTATTTTTTCTTGACGTTATCCTTTTTTTCGCAAATAAGTGGGATTAGCCCACTTCTCACTCTTTTTTAACCAATTGTATTAGTCATTACCCTCATCCACTGATGAGCCTCAACGGTAATGACGAAAATGGTTCGTATGGATAGGAGGCGAAACGAACCATCTCTAATTCTTTATCCAATTTTTCTAATTCCATCGTTATTGTTTTTACTTTATTTTTATCGCATACCGTCGGCTTTAAATTATCTCGACAGGACTATTCACGGCACGTCATAGAGGCATGTGTCCTCTCGAATTCTATGAATTTCTCAGCTCCAATGGACAACCTGGAAACACCAAGAATTTAAAGGCACGGTCCGCGATAAAAAGCCTAGGTGATTTTGCAGAAATGTGGAAGAAAATTCGCCAAGTGAACCATCTATGAAGAGAAAATGCCAAAGGGAACGTTGGAAGATTCGTCAGGCCTCCTCTAGCCTCAAACAACTGTAGAGGTAAAAGAAAAGACCGCGCGCTGGGACGATTCCCGTCGGCTGATTCCCAGTAATGAACCCTATGACTCTACAAGAGACATTGAATGCATCCACTCCATGATACTTGCCCGGGAGCATTACTTTTGGCTGGAAGGCCGACTTTGAACGGAGTCCCAGGGGGAGTCACTGGAAAAAGGGATATACCACTGAAGCTTCCGCGCTCGAGTAGTACATGTTCGTCCTTTCTTGTGCGAGTAGTACAGCCCCAAACTTGGAGACTGTCCCCCTCTCGCAACTCCACAGCGAGGCAGCGAGCTACAGCCGCTGGAAAGTGCTAGTTCTAACCGCTCAGTTGGACCGCCCACTTGCTAGATGCCCTCTGACGGAGAGCCGCTCAGTTGTTCTTTGTTGGGGCGGCGGGCATTAATCGGAATTGCATGTCCTTTTTGCTGACCGCGCTCGTGCCCATGAATGATTCTGCTCTCCTTCATTACATTTTATTCATTAGGAGCACATACAGTCAACTCCAACCCATCTCGCAAGGTAAAACGCGTAAAAATCACGATTTCGTGGTGCAAAAGCTCGACGCACTACACTACACTAAAAGATGCACGCTACCGTAACCCTAAATTCGGACGCCGAGTTTTTGAAAGTTTCTTTTCCTTTTCAAGAGTTTTTCTTCCGTGTTTTCGTTGTTTTCCGTATTCTTTTCTTTGCATTGGATGATATCCACTACTGGGAGATGTGATAAAGGGATTTGCGAGCCAGGGGTTGTATAGCGACCGCAGCGCGGTGTGACTGTCAGGGAGCAATTTCGTTTGTTCTCGAGGACTCTTCTTGCTTTTTTTCTTCTTTGGGGAATTACTTATCAGCTACTGTTTCATAATTGAAAAGCAACTATCCATGACACTTTCGCGGGAGCTGTCTTTAACGCGGATCGCCGCACGATACGCCGCGGGCGACGACGCGACGAAGCACGACGTCTCGTCCGTCTCCCTACCCGACGCGGCTAGTAACGCCGTGTCGTCGCAACTGAATGCCTCAGTCAACTACAGTCTATTAACAGTATTGGTGACTCTCCATAATTGTCACGCAAATCTGCCGCGGAAGATCAGCGGTAAATGCCCTCACCTACGCTCACGTCAAACTATCATGCTTTCTTCGAGAGATTCTGAACATCGTCACGATTAATAACACCTGAAAATAATAATCATACTCTTTATAGCAGAATTTACACATAAACAAAAAAATAACCGTTCTTCACAGATAAGAGACCAAGCAATACTCGTGTAGAAAATGATCGAGAACTGGTTAAAGATACACTTTGCTCCAATACAAAGGATAGATTTTTGAAGTTGTTTTTGTTTGATAACTGCAGTTCGCATTCCGAAAATTATCACAAGACTGCTGAGTTATGGTAGCTCATAACTGAGCATTCTTGTGATAACAAAGGATATATCATTTGCGTTATCTCTCACTAGGACGTTGCTCCCTCCCTTGCCATCTTAGAAGGGAAAACCTATCAAACAAGAAGATGGTGACGATTCGAGTGACTCCATCCATACAACTAGCGTAAAGTAGGCTTCATGCAATGTTTTGGCGCTAAATAGTCGCATTCAGTTCGTCGACCTTTTGCCGAATGTAGCTAATGCCTTCAGCGTCAATTCCACAACATCCACCGATCGTTGTAGCGCCGAGTTCGACCCATTTCTTCATGGAACTCAAGATGATATCCATTGGAGCAGCCTCGCCTCTGAATAGACAGATCTTTAGTCATGATTGTGCTCCCCAAGCGTCGTCAGCTGAAAGGATCCAAAAGAACAACGTACTCTTCAGACTCGTGTTTTCCACTGTTCGGATACACAAAGATCTCTTTATCGTGATGAATGGAGCGCACAGATTCAAGCAGCGAACTAACTGCACTTGGATGGGTACAGTTAATGCCAAATCCGGAAACCTGCAACACTGAGGTTTCGTGGTGGAAAGCTGAGAGAGACTAGTAATAACTTCTTCTTGCTCGCTACAGGACATATCCTGGTGCTGGAGAGGGCGTGTACACGGACTTTGTTGTGTAAGCGGCGGCAGCCGTGTATCTGTGAAATGTTGCTTGTTTAGGGCTAGTGTTATCCTCGAGTCTGGTCACATCAGCGTTTTCTTGTACATGCTCTCTATGTCAACGCCCCTGAACCGATAACGTCAAACGCTACGAGCCATCAGGGTCAAGCATCACGTCTTAGAAATTTGGGGAGGGAGGGAGGTTGGTACGGCTCCCAACCTAGGAAGTGGTGTCCGCACGATCATCCCCCCCCCCCTCCCTTAGCGACTGTGGAGTGTGCGGAGGTATCTGCTGTGTTCATCATGATGTAGCTGCATAGGATGTGTGTTACATCTAATGGTAAGAACATTTGCCAATTCAATCAAATAAAGCACTGGAAACTGAGGGGATAAATTCCTGTGAAGTAGTGTAATGCACAAAATGGAGCTTCGAAAAAAAAATAACTCAAAATGACGTCGTCCTTAGGAAACAACACCATTGAGCGTACCGCGGCTGCGTCGAGTATTGAGACTGGAGCGCTATCGGGCCGTAGAGTTCACACGCGCGGTAAGAACGATTCATGTTGACTGAGCAGGGTCTGTACGGAATGCCTACAGCTTCCATCATGCTTGCATGACCGCTTCAGTCCAGAAAACAACGCGGAGAATTTTGGGCAAAGCGAGTCTTCACCTTTCAATGAAAATAATTTCGTTCATACAGAACGTAGAACGAAGACCTTCACGGCATTTGGAACTAGAATTAGGAGGTTCTTTCATCTAAATGAGTGCAATCGTTGCTATAATTTTATGATCGAAATTCGCCCGCCGTGGACAGTCAAAAAAATAACGCGGAGAATTTCTGGCAAACGCGAGTTTCGACATTTCAAAGCCCATAAGTCCGTTCAGACGTAAGGTAGAACGGGGACGACATTGGCAGCAGAAGGTACATTCTTCCTAGAGGAACCCACAGCGAAAACTTGACCGTCGCAGATTTCCATTTGAAAGTCAGCTTCAGCTGCAGCATGAGGATCTCCCCAATGCAAAGCCCACATTTCCATGTAGAAAGCTGGTAGGCCTCCTGTATAACTCCTCCTCATGCAGTGAGCGAATAGGAACTGCAGTCGGCGCTGATCAACACCTATGGAACGCACAGTCAGACTCGACTTCTTTACCGAACGCATCACTCATCCTGCGAGCTTTGTCGTCCCTACTGTATCAAGTATGATCTCTATAAATGCGACCCCCCCCCGCCCCCCCCCCACTCGTGGATTCCGCGACGTATGATTGACCCTGCCCCTCAGGCGCCCTCTCATTTGCAGACGTGGACACGCCTTCTGCAACGCTCGGATATGACTGTTCAAACTGTTGCAGCAACTAAAAATAGTTCTGAGCATGATAAGATTTTTGGAACAGAATCTCGTTGACGCGATGAACATCAGATACTTCTTTCTTTACTTTGGAGTGGACCTAATTCTTCAGCTTCTCTATCAGACCCAAAAGCATGGGATCAAAAACATGGGAAAAAGGGTGCAATCACCAGGACACGGCTTGGCTGACAACCCTCATCACCTTGCTGACGAGGATGTGAAATAATCTAAAGACCAAAGGATGCGAGATTCCTGCGGAAGAATGGGGATTACTCTGATCCCGATACATCCACTACCCCTAATATACCTCTGAACTTACTCGACAAGTTTCTTCTAGATGGTGGAATAAAGAGGATACGAAGAAATGAAGTTGAATTTTCAGTTTACGAACATTCAATTTCCCACATCACCATAATTGCCCTGGCCTCTAGCCTTTGTGCTCATTTCTAATTTCCTCACCTTCGGATTATCTACTATGAGCCTTACAGCACTTTCGAACGATTCTCCATGACGAAGACTCTTTCCGTCCTACAACATGCGTACAGACTAGATTACGACCGAAACTCGAGTCTTGTAGTGTTTCACTTACTTTGCGACAAGTAAAGGATATGACGACCTTAACATCATGATGAGTTTTCAATGCATCGCATATGGCCTCCGCCTCTTTATAAGAGCTGATTGTTTCGAAAAGGAGATTGAATACTCCAGCTTTTTTCATGGCTTCAATTTGTTTTTCATGATACACGGTCATTTCCTGAAATCAAATTCTGTAATCACGTACAATTAGTCACTATGGTACAATCTTGTTCGCTGCGGATGCTGGGGCGTGCCGGAGGGCTGAAGCCAACCTTTTCTTCAAGGCACTGTCGATAAAATAAGGCTATGACCTCTAAAATGTGTCAGATGATCCGGAAGGCGATTCTGGAGGCTGTGCTACCTTTAAAAAGTGAAAATTGGCAAGAACTCCGCTGGAAGCTGACCAATTAGGCCCATGGGCGCCCCTTAGGCCCATGCCGACCCCACCGGCTGCTAGCTAGTAGCCACTATGCTATCTCTCTCCATTCCGAATGGTGAGAGTGAGGTGATAAGATAAAAGAGCTGATATCGTTATGATAACGACAAGTGGAATTCGTACAAACACGCCTTCTTTTCATTGCATGCACGTACAAGTTGGGTTGGCATGGAGTCCTATGGGGCATTTCGGACTGTTTTTTCTGCTTCTTTTCCCCATTCATCAGTTACCGAGTGACAACAATTGTATAAAGCGAACTGGCGCCGCTCCAAAACCAACCCCCTCGACACGCCTCAGTGTCCGCAGGCGAGCAAGACTAAATGACGTAGGATCTAATAAAAACCTTCAAAATGTCCGATTTCTGAGAAGTGTCTATAAAAAATCCAGTATATTCAGCTGCTTGTCCACGAAAACAAATAGCATACGATCCAATTGAACCCCACATTCGCAGGTCTCTTTCAGAACAACAACTGGCAATTGTTTCTCTCAGAATATTGACGGCTTTCTGGAATTGTTCTCATCGAGAGGAACATTACTAAAGCGTCCTTAATCAAAGGCAGTGCAAATGAATCGATCAGAGCGCCAGGAACGGTCGTCCGCTTGTGGGCGGTTGGACGGCGGCGTAGTGGCGTCTGCTGGTTTGTTGCTTGATAGGGCCTTATAAAGGCCACGCACCCTCCTCCTTTGGAAAAGGCACTTATCCATGCAGCCTTCTCAGGCTCGCGGAATTCCGTCCTGCCAGGCGTATTAATCCTACTCGTCTTGGGGGATTCATCGTGCCAACTGTCTTCAAAGCAGTAATGTCCTTTGGGTGATGTTTTCACTCCATCGGGTTCCATCCACTTCAATTCCATCAGAATTAACACAGGCCAAAGTCATGATATGCTTATAGGAGGGCAGGAGAGCAGTAGACTACTTTTGGTGGTTCAAGCGAGTTGAGCTTAGACATGCGTGGTAGAGCCCTTGCCCAACGCTCGAAAGGTTTGTTACTCAAGCTGAAGTGTCAGAAAATCTAGTCTCCAATCTAGTACACTTGGTGGGTTCATTTACGGTGGAATTCCCTTAGTACTTCTTCATGGAGGTGGTATTGGATTAAGTAGACCGGGTGTGATCCGTTAATGAAGCGTCCAAGAACTCAACCTAACGAGATCCGGTCCATTGAGACCTTGTTGTGCAAGACAGGGCAAAGACGCGTGATAGGTATTCGATTCAATATCGTCAACACCGGCATCGATGAACCTATGTGAAATCCAAGTTAAAGTCTTTGAAAAAAGAAATATTGAAATATTAGAGCGCTACTGCAGAGAAATATTTGCCCTTCTGAGATGGGACCCCTCCCAGGGAAAAAAAAATCGCGGAAAGTGGTACGAAGATAGTAGATGAGAGGGAGTATATGGGTGATGGAGAAAAGGGTCGTAAGAGCGGTGAAAATTTGGGAAGGGAAGACGTATTTAGCAATTTTCCCCCAGCGGCAGGACGTCCCTGCTGCAAAGGTTCCTTGTGCGGGATTCACGCTCATAACCATATTCCGCATTTCCCTGTCGTGACGGGTGACTTCAAGTGGGGGGGGGGGGGAGGGATCGCTCACATTCGAATTGCGGACAGGGCACAGCATCGTTGTGTGAAACACATGGGGGGGTCGTACTTTTGCTCTGGGGAGGGGGGTCGTATTTGGGGTAAGACAAATTTATTTTGATAGTTGATTTTTTCTTGTGGAAAAGGGGGTCGTATTAATTCGTATTAATTTTTTGTGTTATATGCACCCTGTACACCCGCCGGATATACGTTGCATAGTTATTGTATACCCCCTTTTTCGCCGACTATATACTCATCGCTCGTCAGTCGGCGACGAAAGAGCCGGTCGAGCTGAGGGGGGGGGGTCGTGGCGCGGACCCCATTCGGAGGGGGGGGGTCGTACTCACACCGACATTTCGCCTATCCCTATGCTGTACCCTGATTGTGGAAGTCCTACGGCTCTTAGTAGGGATTCAACGGTGTGCTGCCAGCGCCATATTCGTGATCTACGTCTGAAAGTACACCAAAAGAGCCTCACCAGCACCAACTCACTCTCGAACTCTATGTAAGTGAAGTGGACGCCAACTGGTAGACGATGTCACCATTGTGCCACCCCCGACCCCAACATGGTACAGCATCATTGAGGAATAATATTAGAAGGGTCGTCCTTGCTAAGTGGGAAGGAAGGTCATAGCTGGTCTTGACTGAAAATTTTGGAGTCGGGAGAGAGCTTTTTTCAGTTGTTGGTTCTTCGACAGTTGAAGTGAGAATCGTTTGGTGATGCCTCCTCCTCCGCTCGACGACAGTATTTCGAGGAAAAATCGGAAAAAACTTAAGAAGCTGGAAAACTTGTGGTAGGTAGAACAATGGAAAAAGGGTCGTGCTGGGAGAAGTTCTGGGGAGGTGGGGTGGGGGGGGGTGCGTCTGACACCGCCATTTCTCTCATCACGATGCTACATTCTGACTCCAATAGCATCTAATCATCAAAAGTAACCGGCTGCTGAGGTAGGGAAGCAGATCAGGCGCCATACGGCACGCTGGTGCGCTCATATTGGCAATGTGCATGCATACTCCAACAGGTTACGATATGATTTAGCATTACTCAATGAGGAAAGTGCTAAGGTCGGTTCGAGTGTATGGAGAGTGGGTAGTAGTGCGAAGCTAAAGGAAGCCTCTTTCACTAGATGAGTGTGAACTTCGGGAAAGCACCAACATTTACAGCTTCTGAAATAGGGTGCCCTCTCCTGGGCCAACGGTTTCCCCCAACATTCAGAAACCTTAATGTAAGGAGGCACGATTCTAGATTCAAAAGGATAGCATCAAGGGTAGCGGTGGAGGAGAAAGTAGTAAGTGACTAGTTCTTCTTAACAGCCTTATGAGTGCTGTGGAAAATGTGTGGACAGACAAACCACCGCGCCACTCTGCACAGCTAATGACCATACTCTAAATTTCTTGAATTTCTCAAAATATCCAAGTAGACCCATACCGAAAACATTTCTCTTGGTCATTAACCTACCAACAAGCTGCGTAAGTCAGCTCAAAGCTCAAAACCGATTTTCCAGTTTCACAACACTTTCACCGCTCATACCTCTTATGAACCGTCGCCACCGCCTCCGGCTCGTCGAGAACAGCGTCAAAGGTCCAGTTGAGTCTTTCCTAGAGCGAAGGCAAGCTCATGATCGTGAAATCTTATACAGCGTGGAAGCTCTCCTTACCTTATCAAAGAAATCGCTAACGACGTTCGTCAGCTCCGCGCTGAAAGAGCCATCCAGCACGCGAACTTTTCGTCGCGAAGTTGGCTGCTTATTCATGTCACAATCACCTAATCGAAGCGGCTTACAGTAAGATAAATAATAAGAGAGTGGATTTTTAGAGAACTATGTCAAGCTCAAGGATAAAAACAATGTTGCGCAATGATCTGATGAGTGACATTTCTGTCCTATAAGGCCTGCTAGTGCGCAGTCGCAAGGACGTACCGCTTCGCCACTTGGGAGTGCGGGGTAAGAACTCGGCACCAATCAGTGATTTGACCCTATTCGCGCATATTTGGATGGGCTCTACTCATACGACACCTTCAGTATTTGCACTTTTGAATGCTCTCTCATTCCACCTTGTCCTGTCTCTCGCCCACGCGGTCAGTGTCTCTTGAACCCTCCTTCCTTCAAAGGTATGTCAGCTCAAGAATAGTGCCAAGGGTGCTATATAGTGGGAAAATAACAAAGAAAGCGAGATGAAATGGCCGAAATATTGCGAAGAAATCCTTTGTCTTGCGTGTCATTGGACGAACGCTTTTGGACGAGTTTCCCGTTGGCATCGTGCCAACAGCCGCTTTGATAGGCGCGGCTACACTTGCATACTCATATATCCATGCAACAGCACTTATTATCAATTGTACTTTGTAAATAGTGATAAAAGTGGTAGCGTCGATGTGACTGTGTGTCCGCTTGAAGGCGGGCGATTGCGACTGGCGTCTGGTAAGCATGCTGCACCTTGGTTAGGGGCCACTACGGTTGGTGCAGTGCTTGCCAAGTGGCACAGTATTCTTTTGTGCTAGGGTTTATCGAGCCCGTACACCTTGTCGATTAATAGCGCCGCTTGCCTTGAAATACTCGTGGAAAAAAATGACTGCAAGTCAGGTGTGTAAAACCCTGCCTACCCGCAGTTCAGAGCGACTGAGGGGGATGAAGCAAATCGTTTGCGTAATTTTTTCACCAACCTCTTTCCCTGCTCGGCTTAGCCAGGAACTAAAATGCTGGCAATCCCTGCGACTAGCGCATGAAGTCATCCTACTGCGCTGCAAGCGACATGCGCGGTATTTGGCGAGTAATTGTTGTTGCGTGGACCATACAGGCAACATGAGTGCACTTCAAACACTTATCCGTTATCTCGCATTTTCCTGTGACTAAAGTGGTTTCCTTCTGTAACTGTGGACCTGGCAATCAAATGCGCGCAGGCATTCCACTCACCACTTCATCGCGGAGATTGCCCTCAACACCAACGATGCAATTACATTGGTGCAATAGTTCGCTGCTGCACTGTCTACCGTAATCCTAATTTCGTGCAAGCAGCTTCCCGTTTTTCTTTTTTTTCCAGTACTGGATGACGCGGAGAAATGATCACACGGTGAGACTGTCGAGGTGAGTCTTTCCTCAGGACCTTTTGGTTTTTTTATGCTTTTTTTTCTTTCAAAGGCAGTTGGCCGTTTCACTTCGTTTTTTCGCCATTCCCCACTGTATAGCACCCTGCTAGCATTTATCAAGTACCAAATTATAGTGCCAACTGCCTTTACCCATTACGCTTCACATTTTCTTTGCTGAGGATGAGCAGCCACAAAGATATACAGCAAGTATTTCCATAGTACTTGAATTTCCCTGTTCCGCGAGCACCAATATTACTACAGGAGAAACCACTACTGCTACTACTACAAAGTTGATACGAGAAACGATTTATCCACTTCTACGCTTTTCAGAGTCATAAACATATATTGTATATATTGCATATACAGAATTCATCTGACTGCCGCTCATAACGATTATGATTGAATAGACCGGCATTCGTTTAGCACAAAAAACAAAACTAGCGAGATCGAGCACTAATTACTTGACCTCACTGTCGAGCTTAGTATTCCTTCATGTGCGCGATTCGAACTGAAAATATATGACACTTCGGATTCGGGGTGGATTCTTACAATACCAAAAAGGAATCAAAATAAAACAAAAAATGGACTCGCAACTAATCGAAAGAATAAAACCGCTGTGGCCCGAAAACCACAGTTACACAATAAATCAATGTAGCTCCTATTGATACACCGTAGGTAGCAGCGTCATGAACGATGAAAAAAATTACAGTATGATATGAATTTGACAAGAAAAAAAATAATGAGTGGCAATCGATTGACGAATCCGTACACGCTGTGTGACAGAACACTTGTTCCGGATAGATGCCCAAGTTCTTGAGAGACAATGTGAAATTATTTCGTTACTGGGAACAAAGGAGGCATTTTCACTGCAGGCTTTGCTGGATCCAACATCGCATCCAATTCATCTGTCAAATTTTGCAACATGAATCCAATGTCCGACAGTACGTTACCATTAGGGCCAACTGCATGCATGGGTTTGTCTCTGAAAAACGAACAGATTCCGTGCAAGAAGAAAAACTGAAATCGCAGCCACAAAAAGTCAAAGAGAACAGCTTCCAACTGCTAGGGAAAATGAATTGTATTCGAAAACTAAATATCAGGAGTTTCTGATCCCACATTGATTCGATGCTGCCCTTCAGGATAGGGAAAAAGCCGAGCACAAAACCGCTGGAGGAAAGCGAAGGCCTACCGAAATGAACGGCAGCGCGTGTGCCGTGACTTGAAAAATCAGGCGTTCTCTGCTTAATTTGGCGCTGTTCGTCTTGGTGGGGGCATCAAATGGTACTAAGCGAAGCTAGTACAAGGTAGGTTGCGTAACCGAAGTGCCTCGTTTGTACCATCTCAGCTTCACAAAAGTTTACAGGCCTTCACCAGTTTAATACCTGTGAACCAGCAAAATGACCAGAAGAGGAACTAGCGAGTATGGAGAATAAGTCCCCCCCCCCCCCTTCACTCCCAACTGAGCCAAGCGCTGTCTTTGAGTTCGGAGTTCTAGAGGAAACGCAACTCGTACTAAAAGGTATGAGGTCCCCGCCAGCTGAGTAGGTTTTGATTCGAGCAAACGGAAGAATGAACGCACGACTGCTAAGTTCTCCAATGAGTGCATAAAGATCACCCAGCAGGGTACAGCATCGTTGTGTGAACACATAGTTGGTCGTACTTTTCCGTTGGGGAAGGGGATGGGGTCGCATCTGGTCGTTGGTGGGAGGGGGGGGGGAGGCGTATGCGCCTTTGAGAGAAATAAGCCGTGTTGGAAAAAACTTCTCCCAGTTGTTTGACTTTTCGTGATTTTTCCTGTTCCTGTTTCATGTGTACTGTATACCACCCCCTCTTCGCTCAACGGAAAACCTGTGGGTGAAAAACTGAAAAATGTGGGAAAATTGGTAAATAGGTGCTGGGGAAGGGGGGGGGGGGGGTCGTACCGAGACCCTCATTCAGGTCAGGGGTCGTACTGACACCCTCCCTCGAGGGAGGGAGTCGTACCCACACCACCATTTCACACATCACGATGCTGTACCTGTTGTTTATATAGCTACAACAGAGTCCAGAATCAAGAATCAAAAGGCTCAGAGTCGCTGCTCGCACAGGTGGCGCTGTGCAAGCACAGTCGATGTCAGAACATAAGGAGAGGGCGTGTTTACGGAGATGGTTATGAGCGCAACGGCTGCTGCGTATGTGTGAACTGCTGCTATATAGGTACACAGACATGGATAGATGTAGACAGTTCATGTACCAGAGGGACTAGGCAGTACGAAAAAACGTTGACTGACCCTGATTGGCTTGTTAGGGCACGCCTTATCGTTTTTATGGATGCGAGTTGGCGCGATACCCACCTGTTCAGAACTCATCGACAGCGCCACTGATGACTGGCCGCCCAACGAACTGCCCAATGGACAGACCAGAAGAGTCGACTGCCGCTCCAGAAATGAAAAACATTTCTCAAACTACGAAAAATTCAAGTAGACCCGGGAACGCGGAGATGTCACGTCGAAAGTTGGAAATATAATCAGCGTAAGTATTTGCAAAACAGTTTTTGGAAAACCTACAATGAATGGAAAGAATAAAGGATAAAAGGATAAAGTCTTCGCCGTTAATCAAACCCTTTGTGGAATGCGGCACGCATTCTACTTCCATTCAGAATCGTAGTGGCTTTATTGAATGCAATGTGGTACAATTACTTGCGGGGGCTAGCAAATTGACAGAAGTGTTATTATCTCCGACAGCACTGACTTGGTAACAATTTTAGCCGTCCCGAGGATTAAAGGCTTTGTTGGCCTAGCCGAGAATTCGACCAGCAGATTTGAAGCAAGACGCGCAGCGACTGACGAGGACGTAGGCCAATACTCACGTGACGGGAAAGCCGCCTCCTGCCCAATGGAAAGAATAAGTAAATTGAAAGAGCGTGAAAAGTAGAGCAATCACCAACCGATTAGAGGTTGAGCAGTCCGGTATCGTCATAGGCAGTAGTTTTTGGGGTGTTTGAGGTTGAGAAGATGCTCGTACGCTGTTTTTTTCGTGCAGTATTGTCTTTTGACCTAAAAAAGAACACATCTTCACTGCTGATTCCTACATAAGCATACATCCCACAAAACGCAGTTGGACGGAGATTGACCACCACTGTGCCTTTCTCACTGGCGCACTCCTCTTTCTAAGACGGTGAAAGTGAAAAGTAGGGCACACCGGGTATGTTGATACATTTGGAATATGGAGTGTCCCGCACATTCGATGATCGCGGAGCGAGTAGGTAAAAAATCGTTGCAATATGAGAAATAAAAAGAAGATCTAGTGATTACTTGATTGTTCCACAGTTCTCATTAGCAAATGGTAACTGTTCAAGGCTTGAGGATGATCCGCCGCTGCTACTCGCCGAAGACTGGAACGCGTGCTGTAGTCGACGTATTGACCCTTCACAGTGCAGTGGAGCTGAATTATATTACGAATATTTTTTTAAATTATGAGTGAGCGCCGGTACATTGCTAGACAAAATTAGGCCAAAAAGGGAACAAAAAAGAAGATGCAACACCATCAAAGGTAAATCTCGCGATAATCTATGGCAGCCATTTGTGAGGGGAGTTGTAGTAGAGCTTGGCTGAGAGATAATCTTGTTCTCAGTCGCCGGCGTCAGAAAGCGTGCTTAGGTAGGGGCGTTGAGTTCAAGGATTGCGTCAGTGGTTCCATCTGAGGCCAGAGACTTCGCCTGGGGTCGAGGCGTTAACGCCATTGCTCAGTCTGTGGTGCTTCTTCCACCAATCTTATCTAAAACATGCCAGCAATTCCCACGAAGTCTTTGCGTTTCCTTCAAACAAATGAAGATAGGTCTTATTAGGGCGGTTCCCGACTGGGGTTTTATTTGGTTGGCTGGGAGCTGGGTTTCCTTGCTTTTCTTCACGTGAATAGCCATATCTGTTCTTCGCAACCGTTTAATGCGGTAACATAGCGAAATTGGGGCCTTCAAATATGGATCAAACATACTGGCGGGGGTGAAATCGGCATTAACGACCGCCAATGCAGACGGTGTATCACGTTCACGGCTTGCATCGCTGAGTATTTTCCCAGTGGATACCAGATTTAGCCGTATTGGCTCGATCTATAACCATCAAAACGATTCTGTCATGAAAAATAATACACAAAATCGCAAAACTAATAGCAATTTCTAGGGCAGAAAAGAACTGTATATCTACTTGATAGCTGAAACTCTAAGCTAAAAATTGAAACTACGTAATGCTTATACAATCCTATATTGCGCTGGATAGTCTGGGGCGTTTAGGAGGGGGGGGATAGGCGAACTGGGTTAGGGCAGGACAGACTCCAGCAGTTTCACGACCATATGTGATCACCTGCCAAGCGTTCAACAACTGGTAGAAAACGTTTGGTCGCTGCAGCCAACCTGAACCACATGAACGCCCCCCAGCGGTAACGCAACGAATAAGAGGTAGTACGATGATTTTCGCACACGGATGTGTTAGGTCGCTAATCGAATATTTCCTGAGTTCTCTGAAGAATTAGGCAACAAAAATTCAAGCTTTTTATATAAAAAATAATTACTGACGCTCTTCAAATTATTGATCATAATGATCTTTGGAAGTACCTTCTTAAGTCGGGGTATGTGGAGCATTCCTCGTTCGCTCGTGTTGGTGGGGCGGGAGCATTCTGAAAAAGAATCTTGAAACTGAAGCAAAGTTGTACACGAAAGTGCTAGCACAGGACCCGTTGTTAGCAAAGAAATATAAGCAAGTAATAACAACGTAAACATCTTGACGGAATATTTCGGTAAAAGAAGGCGCCGCCTAGGCATCCATCTCTATCTTGGACAACTGCGGAGATACTCGCGGAATAAAGACTGCAAGGTGATGCGGGTTTGATCGTTACTGCATATCGATTTAGGAAGAAAGCGTTCAGTGGGTGGGCTTGTTTCATCCTTTTTGAGACCGCCCCGACTGATTGCGACGTTATCAACTGTACTTGTAAGTAAACAAAAAAACTGCTGCGCTCACCTTTGATCCTCTGGAATAACTCAGGTAGTCGATATTCCCATTCAGGTTCGCTTTAGCTCGTAACGTACTTGATGGAGCTGGAGGTGGTGGGTCGTTGCGCCTGGAAATAGCAGGATAGAAAAAACCGAACAAAACGGAAGACTATGTTGTCTAAAAACTTGTAGTGGACACACTCATAAAGGGCCATTAGGACCAGTGCGCTGGGAAAATCCGCGCCTGGAAGTCCGACACTACATTTTCTCACCTTGTGCCCCTAGGGCTCAATAAGACAAAGTTGTGCTAGGCAGTTGAAATCATAATACTGTAATAAAGATAGGGATCTATAGACACAGTACAACCACTCTATGCTACTACAAACCATTCAGGAACCCGTTTTAGAGGTTCGCTTCATTATTTTTCATCGAGAGTGTGTGCGGCAGGTCCCAGATGATGGAGAAGTTTGTTCCTGGCAAACTATGGGCTATAAGGCTACAACAAATACCACCATAAATCTGGTTGACAATAGTTCATTAAAAGCAATGTGGGCCATGTGATGACCGGGGAAAACAGGTCTCCAAAAAGCTTCTTCCACCGCTGCCTCACATTCTACCTTCTTGAACCTCAGCACCCAACTTCCGCTACCCTCAGTCAGCCTTCTCACTAACATAAGTAAAAATCTCTACGACCGTACCCGCGTGGGAGAAGAGCGATAAAAATACCTATTTCAGCCCCTCTCCTAAACTCCCAAACCCCCTCTTTTTATCAGGACCCCTTTCAGAAAGAACCAATGCGACTCTCTGTTGGGGAATCCTCAGCGGCGTACCTGGTAGTTGAGCAAGTAATCCTTCAAAATTAATACTCGCAAAATATCCTGCCAATGATGGTGTGCACTCATTACTAGACGTCAAGTTAGCATTTTCAAACTCTTACTAGTCAGGCGAACATTCCCACCGTATCCCCCTCTCGAGTAACAATAAAATCAACATAATTAGCTATAAAACCAACATGAGGATGTCACATAAGGTAGAAGCTTACCTGACATGCGGCGTCATTTGTTCCTGCACTGCCGGCGCAATAGAGCGTGCTGAAAGCATTGGTGAAGGCACCTGCACTGGCTGGACCTTGGCTGAATTCGTCAGCGTGTCCAATGGATTATTCATCGAGCGTCGATAATCCTGAAATCCGAAGTTATGGGCGACATTCTGAACAACGACCACCAGAAACACTAAGAAAACCGTAAGGCCACCCATATCGAACTGTCATATTAGCATGATTGTGGCAACAGCCCCTCCTGCTCTAATTGACACCCAGTTAGTACATCTGGAACGTTCCACAGGGTGGGACCATTCACCTTTCTTTAGAGATGGCATTCTGGTGCTGTATACTCATGACCAGATGACTACCACTAGTGAAAAGACCTTCGAACCCCTGAACGGACAAAGAAAGCTAACGAAAGGAAATATATCGAAAACAGTAAAAATATAGATGGTAGTAGAAGTCTCCCTGTAAGAATGGCCTGATAAAATAACACTAGAAATTTTCGCTAAAAAGGGTGACGGAAATTTCTTTTCACTCTAATGCAGTTTGGCAAATTTGATGGAGGCACGCGATGGAGAAGAAAACTAGTAGTTTCACAAAAATTTCCTCTTCTCAGTGACTTGAAAAAAGGTAGACCATCAACTCCATAAGCTTCAAAAGATTAAGACATCAGAGATCCAAACCCACAAAGCTCAAAGCAAATATTCAGCTAGTAACTTACCAAGAGGACCCCAAAATGTTGAGAGCAAATAAGGTGAAGTAAAGTAGATCGAAGCAATCCGGATGAGTACACAAATCCAGAACGTCATTCTTCAGAAAAGAAATCAACGGTACAACCTTATAAAGTGGTTCCAGGTGCACTTATTGGGTGTCAAATATAACAGGTATGGGTAGGAGGTTGGCCAGAGGCAGACAGGTAGGTAGGTAGAAAGAGCAAACAGTTTTTTGTTGAGGTATGTGACAGGGGTATGTGACAAGACAATCGTAAGATGCCGCGTGGGCGTGGCGAGCGATGCCGCAACAGTGAGACGAGTTGTCCTGCCTGACCGTTTGAATGGGAATGTTCAAGAGACGATAGATTGAATATTGACCGTCACGGATCTTGTCCCCGCTTGAATTCGCACGAGATTCGCTGCTCCATGGAACGAGGAACTGATACACACCGAAAATTCGCCGCGCATCGCCGCACGATACGCCGCGCGCGACATCGCAATAAACTACGACTGTCTTGTCTGTCTCCTCTTAATCAGTCCCTAATGCACTTAGTACTCAAAGCTAATTAAAGTAATAATTAAAAATTGTGTTTACTTACCTTCAACTTCTTGATAGCCAATCCAAGACGTTTCAAATGCCCTAATCTCTTCACACCGATATCTTCAAAATCCTCCCAGCTCAACTTCATCACCTCTTGGACGGAATCGTACCCTTGTGAATCGAAAACGCTTATGTATTCGGGTAAGGCCAACAACGTAAGCCATTCACTAAAACAACAATTAATTACTCAAAACAAACTTTGTAACAACTTTGTAACATGAATGGCAAACAAGATATTCCAACTAGAAAACTATCTGACCTCAAGCCTCCTTGCGGTGGAACAGATGGCCAGCTGTCAGTGATTTGCCAGCTATGAATATCATTCATCAATCGTTTCCGATGAGCCGGATTTGTTATCCCTAGGGACAGCAGGTCCTCAGGCGTTATTCGGGCTAAACTTTTTCCATTTAATCCATCAATTCTGATTATTAAAGCAACATTTATTTCCACAAACCTATTGATGATAAGTCATATCCTTGAGTGAGGAACAATGCTAGATATTCGGCCATTCCAATCTTATCCAACCAAATTGCTAGTATTTCAGCTTCGGGTACGCCTTTCGCCACCATCTGGGTTACATTAACCGGCGTTTCTGATGACGACGAGTAAAAAGAGTCATCGAGCGCGTCGACAGATGATGAAGCGAGTGATGAAGAGCCACTAAATGTACGAAATCTGATATTCATGGATGAAAAATAGGTCTGAAAATGCGAAAAAAGTAACCAACCTTCCACCGCTACCACTCGAATGTACACTTATTCGACTGGGTGGCGAATCCGTATGGCTAGGAGTGAGCAAGGAGGTCGTATGGAATGACGACGATGAGGAAGATGCTGAGGTCGTTCCATGTGACTGAAATCAGTCACACCATCAGAATACTACGACGTTACTCTCTCACGTTCTACTGACACCATATCTAATATTGTCATCAGTGAGGCGAGGGCTATTTGTCCATCATTTGAACGTTGATGCGTGGCTGGCGCTTACGGCGCTGATCTGTCACACCGATGAAAAGCGCTGTCTCTCGAAACCGCCAAACCGCGAACGGGGTCGTTAAATTCCAAGCAAAATGATAGCTGGCGGTCTACACTGGTCGGGTGCACGTTTATTTAGAAATTAGGGCTTTTTGGCTTCGAGGGGTATTTTGCACTTTTGCTAGCTAATTTCGTTAGTTCATGTTCAACAACAAGTCTCCCATAAAACTTGTGAACTCTTTCAAACCTGGGGAATGGTGCGGACGAGCCACTTCGGTTACAGGAATTTACAGGTCTTCGCAAGGTACCTGTACAAGATTTGCACAGTACCTTCAATGCCCCCACCAAGCCGAACTGCGCCAAAAATTGTGAAAACAAGGGCAGAAACCCAAATCAGAGTACTTCCAGTCAGTAGAGAGAATCTTTGCCCCTCCCCCCTCTCTGTGCGAGCCCCTTCTCCATCGCCCATCCTGCCTACCATCTTCTCATGTTTGCCCATCTTCCTACCTTTTGCCCAGTTTTTTTTAGAAATCCCTTCACCTCTCCAAAACTGTCGTCGAGCGGGTGGTGGGAGGCTGGGGGGGGGGGGTGTTGCGAGAGGAAGGTATATATAGTGCGCTCGAAACACGATAATCTAAGGAAAACGAACAACGAGGAACTTCTTCTGAGACAGACAAATAAGACCCCTCCCTCTTTCCGGCCGCCAGGAACACCCACCCTCCCAGCGCTAGGGATCCGGGGATTCCAACGTACGAAGTGCCCTGACCCAGATTTGGACCGAAATCTTCTTTGAAAAACCGGTTTGTTATGGAAAATACTTTCATAGAGAAAAAGGAGCTTTTTCATGATCTTCTTCTAACCATTCAAATTTTTCTAAATTACTTACCTTCATACTTTCAAATCCAGAACTGCCTTGACTTGAATTCGACCCTGTCGAAATAC